CTCTGGGTGACCCTGCTTTAGCAGGGATGTTAGACTGGATGACCTCCAGAGGTCCTTTCCAACTCTTGCCATGCTGGGATTCGGTGATTCTGTGACCCCCTCCCTTTTCTCCACCTCTCTTTTGACCCTCAGGCCTCAAACTGATTACATTTTAGAAGGAGCCTCGCAGTGGCAGAGGAGATGGGTAACAACCGTCCCTGATTGGCTGGGCATACTTCTAGTGTAGCCTGGGAATTACACCCCTTCTAATCACAAGGTCAAGGATCCAATCCTGACTGTCCAACCAGGGACTTGCTGGCTGTTCCCTCACCCAGGGAGGGTGGCCAGCAGCAGGCTCTGCCCCGTCTCTGCCCCCTGTCACAGGGGCATGCAAGTTGGTGCCCCCTGAGCTCTCTGCAGGACGCACCTTCATGTCTGCTGCCTGGAGCAGCTGAAGGCCACATCTGTGGTTGCCGATGATGTCGTTCTCTGTGATGACGCCCTCTCCCTTGGAGATGATGCCATGGCTGCTGTTCTCATAGATGCCGTTGCCACAGAGCTCCACCTGGCACTCAGCTTCCACCAGCACTCCTCCCCGGCTGTTGCAGGAGATGCTGTTGTTGGCAATGTGCGTCAGCCGGCTGCTCTGCAGCACCACCACCCCTCCGTTCTGGTTGGCATGAATTACATTGGCAACGATGCTGAGTGCTTCATCGCTCTTGATGTGTAACCCAGCGGCTGCCAACCAAAAAGAAGAGCTGCCAGTTAAGAGCTTGCAGCCCCAGTCATGATGATCACAAATGTATTTGTTTTTAAAAGCTACTCAGGCTCTTCTGTCACTGTACAGCCTTCTGACTGGGAGCTTAAGGCCAAAACGCCACACACTCAGGTCTCAGCCCACCATTTCTCCAGGGCACTACTGGCCTGGTGGCAGCTGAGGAAGACTTTGGCAGACCCCAGTGCTGGTGGACCAGGAGAACACACTGGTCTGCATGGAGCGCTTATCCTGGAGCCTGGGAAAAACCCTGGACCCCAGCCTCACCTCCGTTGTGGCTGATGCTGTTGGACTCCACCAGTGCTACGCTGATGGGATGCCGGGCAGCCAGGTGCTCCTCCTCGCTGTCGGGGTCATTCTCCCCGCCGGCACTTTCCCTGTCGTCCTGGAAGGTCTCGCTGCCCGCCTGCCCAGGGTGGTGGTCACCAGTGTCATCCCTGTGGCAGAACACTGCCACTCCATAGATGCTGTTCTCACTGATCTCATTGTTGATGAGGTGTGGGAGGCTGGAGGACGTCATCCACACACCGCAGCCCTTGTTGCCTGCAATGTAGAGGGGGCAGCATAGCCCAGTGAGTCAGCAGAGCTTGGAGACCCCCAGCCCTGCCCCAAAGAGGCTTATGGTCCATGTGTGGTGCAGGTGGGATGGAGGTGAGCCTCCTCTTTGAGCACACATGAAGACTGACTCTTCATGTCAGGGACTCACAGAGATCCTTTGGCCCTGACTCGGTCCCACTGGGCCAGCTCGAGTCCAGGAGCTCAGTGCCTTTCTTTCTTTACCTCTGCCTTCTCCTGGCACTGTTCATGTTCATGGACGAGCTCAAGTCCCCTGCTTTAAGTCATGCAAACAGGACGTAAACCCCCACTGATCTGTGGCTCTGCAGGACGGCCAGACACAGCCCTGTCCACCAGCTCCATGCACAGGTGGCTTCACCACGGATGGGCAGCCGCAGTGCTCAAAGGCCACGTACCCTGGTCTATCCTCCAGGCAAGGGAGCCTCTGGAGCCAAGGAGCAGGCAGCTCAGGGAGCACCAACCTGGGTTTCCCAGAGGCTTGTCCTTTGGAATCCAGGTGTATTCACAGAATGGCTTAGGTTGGAAAAGACCTTTAGGATCATTGAGTCTAACCATTAACCCAGCCCTGCCAGGTCCCCACTGACCCATGTCCCTCACCCCACATCTCCATGGCTTGGAAACCCCTCCAGGGGTGGGGTCTTGACCACTGCCCTGGGCAGCCTGGGCCACGCCTTGATAACCCTTTTGGGGAAGAAATTGTCCCTCATGTCCAACCTAAACCTCCCCTAGTGCAACCTGAGGCCATTTACTCTTGTCCTATTCCTTGTTCCTTGGGAGAAGAGTCAAACATGCACCTGGCTCCAATCTCTTCTCAAGGAGTTGTGGAGATCCAGGTCTCCCCCGAGTCTCCTTTTCTCCAGACTGAACAACCCCAGGTCCCTCAGCTTCTCCTCACAAGACCTGGGCTCTAGACCCTTCCCCAGCTTTGTTGCCCTTCTCTGGACATGCTCCAGCCCCTCAAAGTCCTTCTTAGAGGAAGGGACCCAAAACTAAACTCAGGATTTGGGAGGCCTCCCCAGTGCCAAGACCAAGGGGACAATGTCTGCCCTAGTCCTGCTGGCCAGCCTAGTACTGCTCCAAGCCAGGATGCTGGTAGCTGCCTTGGCCACCTGGGCACAATGCTACCTCATATTCAGCCAGCTGTCAACCAGTAACCCCTGGTCCTTTTACTATTCTCCAGTGTCTAATGCATGCTGACATACAGCTTTGCTACCCCCAGGGTGGCTGGGTACTACAACCACCCTCCTTCTGCCCCAGCCAATGCTATTCCAGAAACCTCTGGGAACTCCCTGCCTGTGAACCTTACCCTCACTGCTGGTGCCGTTCCTGGCCAAGCCTCCTGGGCACCCACCACAGCCACCTCCTGGATACCCACCACAGCTCCCTCCTTGGCACCCACCACAGTGCCAGAGCGCACCGGAGGTAGAAGGCAGCCCAGCAAGCCCAAGATGATGGGTTGATGGGGAGAAGGCTAGAGCCGTTCTCTGCTCATGCTTGCTTCCTTACCATAAATGGCATTTCCCTCGATGAGGCCCTTCCCGTGCTCACCCACCACCACACCGTCCGAGTAGCCACAGGAGATGAGGTTGTTCCTGAGGGTGGGGTCACCCCCATGGCGGATGTCCACCCCACCCCACTGGTTCTCGCAGATGACGTTCCCTAGAGCCATGCAGGGAGGACAAGGTGACCACACTGGCCTCCTACCCACAGAAAAGGAAAGAGACCTTGGAAAGTTGAGACCTGGCCCCACTGAAAAGCCCCCATTGCCTGCAGTGGGGCTCTAGCCTCAGAAGCTTTCCTATTCCCACACACCCTAGCAGTGCTCTCCAGCACAGGACACTGGTCATTAGCACTTCCAGTAACCACCACCTCCCTGTCTCCTGAGGTGCAGGGCAGAGTGGAAGAGCTCTCAGAGGTGCCACAACAGCCCAAAAATGTCATTGATGGCTTTATCTCATAAACTGGATGACACAGGAGGGAAAAAGGCAGATTCCACGTGGCAGATTGCTCTGGAGCACAGTTCCACATCCCAGCTGGGCCACAGAAAAAGGAAACAATAATTTGAAGAACACAGTAAAGAAAGACATGCTCCCTCCATGAATGGCAGAAATGCCAACTACAAAATGCAACCATGGGCTTACTGCAGCTAAAGTCACCCAAAAACCACAAGACAAATTTTGCAATCAAACAAAAAGACAGAAGCTTAAAGACAAAACCAAACTCTGTATAATCCACAACGTGGGTTTCCATCTCCATACCTGTGATTTGGCCTCTCCCATTCTCATTCACTGCTATGCCAGCAGCCAGTCCCTGGAAAATATGGTTCCCACTGAGGGAGAAGAGAAGGAAGTTACCAGCAGCAGTGCTGCCTCCTCGTGGTTTGCAGTGGTGCCGGTGCAGCTGGCCTCTGCAGAGGCACCAGTCTCCCCGTTGCCTGTGCCCAGCAGCAAGAGCTGGGCATGCAGCAGCTGCACAGCACCATCCAGCAAGAGGGAGGCACAGTGGGGAAGGAACATGCAAAGCAAAGCTGGGCTACAGACAGCCAAGCTGCTCTCAAGGAGGTGAAAGTACAGAAGAGGGATGCAAAGAGAAACAAGTCAGTGAGAGCACTCAAAGAGCACGAGGTGCTCATGAATATCCAAATGTTCCCCACCTCAGACCAGATGTCCATCTGGCTAGGCCAATGAGGCTGACACCAGATTGGTCCAAAATGTTGATCTCAACCTCCTCTGGATATCTTCCAATTTTGCAGAACCTCAACCTAAACAAGTCTTTAGAGGTTGGCAGCTACCCAGTTTTGAGAGCTAGGAGGACTACAAGTTCATGTGAATGCTTGTGGAAAGGTCTGTGGCAGCTTCTGTGTACAGGTGTTTTATGGAATACTCTTAGCTAGTGAAAGAAGGCAGAGGTGGAGCTGGAAGGATTCTGCTGAAGAACTGTTAGGCACAGTAGCTGCTCTGGTGTTCAGGGGTCACACACAGCTGCAGCTGTAGGGAATGTACAGACAGGGAGAACCAAACACTGTCTCCCTCCACCCTGATGGCTACCTGCACCCAGGGCTCCCCTCACCCCTGTGATGGTCCCTGGCTCTCCTAGCACTAGGCAGCAGCACAGCCCATGAGGAGACAGGCCAGTTGCCACAGACTCCCTGCCCCTGTGGGCATCATGGAGCAGGGGATTCTGAGCTGCAGACCCCTGTGTCCCCATGCAAAACTGCTGCAGATGCATGGAGCCCACCAAGGTGGACACCACAGAGGAGTCTGTTAGGCCTTTAGCCCATTTCCCCCCCATCCTTCCCACTATGGGAAGGAGGTGAAATGCCTTAGCAGCCATGGGACTACTGCTGCAAGAGAAGGCCTGAAGGCAATAGGCAGATGGTGGTGGGACACATTAAACATGGTGACAGGAGCAGAGGCAGAGCCATGCTGGGAACAACAGCCTGGAGAGTACATTTGGGCCGTAGTGTGCCCGAGTCCCTGTCACCCAGTGTCCTCTGGGCTCCCACCTATTGCCTATCAGGAGGAATAGAGCCCTGGAGCCCCAGGCCCACCACCAGCTCCTCCTCCACAACATGACCCTGAATCTCCAGCTTGATGCTGAGATTCAGAGCAGGAGAGAAGTCATATCAGTCACACACACAAAAAAAAAAAGTAGTAACTGACTGCAGTGCCTGGCATGGACTCTGCACTGGCATCCACCCAGAAGCACTCACCAGAGACAGCTTTGCTCCCCAGGGCTGTGAAGAGAGTGGAGGGGCTTCTACAGCAGTAAAAAAGCCAGGGTGGGAAACCAGCACCTGTGACATGCCATCACCAATGGCAGGCGATT